TGAATATCGACCAATTTTGAGCGTACCTATCACATATTCATATAAGAAAACGAGTGAGGCATATATTGTAATCTTCGTGTTGAGAGTTTGTTGTTTCAAGGCCAAGTCGATATTTGAGGCATATGGTTATACGATCGTTGGAATTCGACTCGATTGAGTTGGGCATTTTGAGGCTTTTCTTATTTGAAACTGCATCCATGCTCATGTCTTGTTTTCTTTTCTTTTTATTCGGGACGAACAAAGGTTTAAGTGTGGGGGAGTTGTTTGTCCCATTTTTGTTGCATTTTTTCGTTGTTATTTTTTTCTTTCTTTTCTCCCGTTTTAGGTCTTTTCGTTGGTTTTTATTCGTTCTTGTAGTTTTTTGTGTGTTTCGCTCTATTTTGGTTTTCTATGTGTTTTTTTTATTTTTCTTTATTTTTGGTGTGCAGGTCAGAAGCCTGTGAGGAATAGATTTAGCCCGAAAATTTACCAAGCAATCATGGTTGTGTAGAAGGGTTCGTTGGCGACATATAGGAAAAAGCAGAACTCAATTTTGAGCTTAGACGAGTCCGAACGGGCCCAAAAAGTAAAGTCGCGCGAAACACGTTTAGTGTGTAGGTCAAGAGCTATGGGAGAATATAATATCAAGAATAATTTGGCCAATAAAGCATCAATAAATAGAGAGCTTCGTTGGCGACGCATAGGAAAAAACGGAATCGAATTTCGAGTTCGGACGAGTCCAAACGAGCTCCAGAAGCGACAGAAGCCAGCAATCCCGTGCGCCGCGGCGCGACCTGGCCTTCCTCCACGGGCGTACAGAGACTCACGCACCTGCTCCCTGCCACACCGCGAGACCCCTCCACGCCGCGACACCTGCTTCCTCTGTGCCGTGCTGCCTCTCTACACCGTGACACTCGTGACCTCCACTCCGCGTCACACCATCTCACGCCGTGATCTTGTGCCACCTATAAATATGTGTACGGGACATCGATTAAAGAACAATCTCCCCTCCTGGGGATGAAAACCCTTGGCCCGAGAAAAAACACGAAACTCTTTTCTCCTATTTTCTTCTCCTTCTTTTTCCTTTCTTCTTCTTTTTTGTTTTTCCTTTTCTTTTCACCTTTCTTTCCGTTTTTCTTCTTTTTCTTCTTAGTATTCGAGGATTAAGCCTGTAATTTTGATTCAACACTCGGATTTGGGATTAATTGTAAGAATTTCTTTCTCTTATTTAATTCATGAATAATGGTTAATTTGAGAGGAATGATTATGTGTGTTGAATTTGATTTATGTAGCCAATTCCTTTTGCTAGGGATAGGAGATGATTGTTCATGTTTCACGTGTATTTGTCGGGCTTGAATTGTTCATGCTTATGTGAGTTAATCTGATTAGGAATTGATATAATCTTGCTTGATTGATTGATATAATCGAAGAGTGACACTTCGATCTTGCGATTGGAAACAATTGAATGTTAATTTGTCAAATTAGGGTTTGTCAGTTCTATATTATTAGTTGATTAATCACCTTCCAGTTAATTAGCGACTTTCAGAACCGAAAGGGGAGAAGTCGTAGACCTAGGCTCGCATGAGGTAGATGATTTCGTAATTGAATAGTCTATAGGTTTTGGATTGAAATACGTGCTTGTCGATGACCCGTCCTTTGTTACGAAAAGTTATTGGGATTGGGATAATTGGCCTGTGTCGTATGCTCGAGTTTGTTCGTCTACGTTCAATCTCTTGTTACGAAGAGTTATTGGGAGCGAACCGTTCGATGTCTAAGCGAGAGTGTCAATCTTGAACCGAGCGATTAATTGTTCGGTTTTGCTAGAACTTGAATTAATTATCCCCGATTCCCTATCTTCTTCATCTTTGTTTCGTTTATATTTTTAGGTAGATTATTGTTTTTATATTATTTCTTAGTTGGTAATTATTCTACCCCCATCCTGATTAGAGTGTTTAGGATTTATTTTCATTTTTTGTGTTATCATTACCAATTCTAAATTCCGAACCGCCTTCCTCGAGAGATCGACTCGAGGAACGAATCATTTAATTCGGTACTCGATAAAAATAACAATTTGTGCTACAACATCCTCACAGCCTTTTCTTTTGAGTTTTGTGGTCTTGTGTTAGCTGCTAGTATTGGTTCATGATATGAAATTGCTAAGTCTTGTTTTTTTTTTACTTCCTGGATATGTGTTGAAGAAATGAGGACATTGCATCATTTTAAGTGTGGGGGAGTTTACTTGGATTTTGCATGCTTATGTGGTGGACTGGTCTAGTGTAGGTTTGTGTGTTTTGGAGCATGGACTTTGGAAATTTCAAGATTAGTTAAGATTTGTTTGATAAATTCGATGAGTTGTGATGTTGGTCATATGCGGCATAGCGTGATGAAATGCTTGGTCGATTACTTTGATTAACATTCATATATCTACCTTGTGATATTTGAGCCTTATTTGTTTCTTGAGATAAATTGGTCGTGCTCTTGTTTAATTAGAACTTGCCCTGAATCTGCATTGAAATAAATTGATTAGAATTGTGAAATGTGTATATGATTAAGACGTTTATNCACAAAAAAAGAAGAGAAAGAAAAAAGAACAAAAAAAAGATGGGTGAAATGTGTGATTTTAGGAGAAGTGTGGGGGAAGATCCGGTATGTTTGAGCAACCGGTTGAGCTTGTAGTTCTTGGGTTAGGAGTTTGAGTTATGTATTCAAGCCACTTAGCCTATATTTTATTCTACCTATCCAAAGAGCCTACGTTACAACCCGGGAAGACCTTTGATGCACTAGTTTCGATTTTGATTGGTTTAGAGTAGAAGTTAGACAATGGACAAGCATATGATTGAACTTGTTATCGACCAATTTGAGTGCACCTATCTTTATCTGTATAAGAATTCGAGTGAGGCACACATATATATTCCTATACTGAGAGAACGTCATGTCGAGGTATAGTGATCAAGCATGTAGTTGTGTGATGCTCATATGTGCCATTTGAATGCTCATTGTTGAAGTTGAACATGTTGAGGCTATACTGTTAATGACTGTTGTCCATGCTCAGGTTTTTGTTTTGTGTCTTTTCTTTTCTTTTCTTTTTGTTCGGGACGAACAAATGTTTAAGTGTGGGGGAGTTGTTTGTCCCATTTTTGTTGCATTTTTCGTGCTCGTTTTGATTTCTTTTTTCCCCATTTTAGGTCGTTTCTTTCGTTTTTAGTCTGTTTCTTGTTTTATTATGTGTTTTCCTTTATTTTGAGTCTTTAAGTATTTTTTGTTTGTTTTTCCGGTTATTTTTGTGTTTTGTCGTTTTTGGTGTGTAGGTCGGGAGCTTCGGGCGAACTTTCTCTTCAGGAAAAATTGGTTTCGAGAGCATAATTGGATAGAGGGGTTTCGTTAGCGATGGGTAGGAAAAAACGGAACTCAATTTCGAGTTCGGACGAGCCCAAACGAGCCCGAAACGTAAAACCGCGCGCAGCAGCTCAATTTTGTTCACCGCGGGCAGCGGAGGGATCCCGCGGCCGTGGAGCCCTTATGCAGCTGAAATCTCGTGGCCTCGGAGCTTCCCGCGGCCGCAGAGGTCGCAACCAGAATTTTAAAAATTAGAATTTGTTCGTTTTTTCGAGTACTGGGCATTGGGACTCGTTCCCATACCTAAAAAAAACACCCCAAACTCGTTTTTCTTGATATTTTCTCCCTAAGAACACCATCTTGATCTTGTTTTTCACTCAGATTTCTTCATTGCTTTCCGATTAAGCTTGTACTTGGGATTCAACATTCGATTGTTTTATCAATTGTAAGTTTTCCTTTTCACCTAACCCATGGATATGAATGCTTGGATTGTTGTGAATGTTTTTGTTGAATACCATATGAGTAGCTAAATTCGATTTGCTAGGGATAGGAGATAATACTTTGTATTTGATTGTGATTGCCGTGCTTGTTGAATCATTCAATTTATGCGAGTTAACTTGAAACTAGGGTTCTTGATCTTCATGCTTGAATGTTGATTATTATTGAATAGTGATACTTCAATTTACGATTGGTTTGCAATTGAATATGATTTATTCTCGTGTGATGATTTTAATCCCCATTGACTAAGCGATTAACCACCTTCTAGTCTATTTTAATCGACCCTTAGAACCGAAAGGGGAGGAGTCGATCGATCTAGGCTCGTATAAAATAGGCTTGTTCGTAACTGTATTGCCTATGTGTTAAGCGACTCGTTAATTTGCTGTTTACATTTATTCTCTTGTTACGAAAAGTTATTGAGGATGAACCTCTGAACAAGTAGGTTTTTCGAATCCTTTAACCGAATGATCGCTTGCCCGTTAATTGTGTTTCGAACAAAAAATGATTATCCTCGACTCCCTAGTTTCTCTATCATTGTTTGATTCATGTTTATGAATTGATTTTTGTTTTATGCATTTTTTGTTATTTCCTAGTTGATAGTTCAAACCCCAATCGTGATTAGAGTGTTTAGAATTTCTTTGTTTTTTGCGTATGCTCGACACCAATTCTAAATTCCGAACCGCCTTCCTCGAGAGATCGACCCGAGGTCGGAAGTCATCCTGTACTCGGTAAAAAAATAATTGTACACAACAAATTTGTTGCTATTATATAAGATTTACGAATACTTTATACAAATATAATAGACAAGTATATAAAAGTTTCAATATATTTAAAAAAAAAAAGGAAGTTTCAAAATGTTTATGATAAAAATTCTATAATTATTCAAAAAGGTTAACCGTTTTAAAGTTTTATGTAGCTCACAAGGTCATTCACCTTTTCCTTTTTTTCCAGAAAATCTTTAAAATAAGCCTTAAGAAAATAATGTGAGGTTGAAATTGATCTTACTCAACAGTTTCAGACTTTCAGTGCGGAGAATCCGCTACAGATGCTCACACATTTTCTGCCCACGAATCAATCACTCCATAGTTGTAGCTAAAATGGGTTTTTCATAATTGTTCATACTAAAACCCCCATTATTTTTAAATCATTTATTTTTTCTGCTCTATTCAAGCCATAGAGCTAGATTTATGGCGCCTCTTGCTGTGTCAGCAACTGCGTTTTGTTCCATAAGCCATGGCTATGGCGTCAAGAAGCTCGACGAGTATCTTACCCGAAAACTCAGTATCAGCAGGCAAGTCACATTTTTCCCCCCCCTTTTTCAGTTCTTTTATGGACGACCTTTTTACATATTATCTTGTAGGAAACCGATTTTACTTCTTGGAATTGTGTCTTTCTGAGTATTTGTGTTTCAAGGCTTTTTTTTTTCTTTTACTTTTCTTCCGACATTTCTGTTCTAATGGCATTATGGCATCTAAAATAATTCTTCAAAGAGATTTGGGTTTCATGATTTACTCTAACAAGTTGAAAATTTCAAGTTACTGTGATCATCGTGAAGATTTTATATTTTTTATTATCGATTTCTGTTCGTCTAAATGGTTACGAGGAATTGTGTCCCAAGACTGTCTTTGAATTGTTTATTCCTCATCTTCTTTGTTTTTCTTTATTTAGTTCTAATAAGCCTTGTTTCTATCAGACCTGATGAGCTGAACTACTTTTAGAGGTAGTATGACGACTAACATAAAATTTCACCATTTGTAGCAATAGCAAGCTCTTGTATCTGTCATTAGTGGTTCAGTAATCAAAACCATGAAATATTCAAGATGGTCTTTTTTGTTTCAGTTGTAGCGGGAAGAAAACAATGTTTTGAAAAATACAGAATATAATGCTGATTAGGAAATTCTCTAAGAAGTTGAGTTCCCCAAGGAGATAGTTTACACTAACAGAGATGCTATAGGTTTTGGTCTTGAATTTTGTTAGACTCTGCAAAAACCCATCTTCATTCTCTATCCCCTCGATTTTCATCTCGTTACAGCTTTAAAATACTTAATAATTTCAATAATGCTACATGCTTTTCTTTCAGGATTCATCAAGTATTACTTCTTCCAGATGCTTGTCAAAGGTCACTATGCACAACATTGCATTTCAAGCAGGCCAGCATGAGGCAATTATATTCTCTACGAGGGCATTATAGTAATTCATTTAAACTTAGAGCAGAACACCGTGGGAGTAGTAATGTTGAAGAAAACAAGGAAGAAAGCATCTCTAGGGTGACTTTGATGTGGAGAGCTATCAAATTACCCATTTACTCTGTTGCATTGATCCCTATAACAGTGAGGTTTTTTTTTTTCTTTTTTTTTTTANAATTTACCTAGTTGCTATATATTCTGCAAGAATGAGTTTTCAACTGCAAAGCTCAAAGTTTAACTGATATGTTTTCAAAATTTTAAATCTATATGTAATCATAGAAGGAATCCTTTTCCTTCAAACAAGAAAATGGCATCAGTTTAGGAAAAATGCGAGCTTTCCTGAAATAATATAATCAATAAGTAGATGTGATTCTTGCCATTGGACAGACGGGAAATGCTCCCCTACCCACGGTGGGCACATGTTAATATGCCCAAAGCTTATGTGGCATGCACACATTGGTGATGTATTTTTTTAATATATTAACATCACCAATATGTGCATGCCACATAAGCGGTGGGCATATTAACATATGCCCACCGTGGATAGGGGAGCATTTCCCTTGGACATGAACTGAGTGAAGGCATAGGGGAATTAAATAAGAAAGCCCAGCAAGTTTCTTGGACTGACTTGCTATTCCACTTACATTCCCCATTTAAATTTTTTATGTCGTCATTTAATGCTTCTTTTGCATATTGAAATTGATTATTTGGTCATGTATTTAACTTGAGGATGGAAGTAAGTATTGTCTAATATTCAGCATAATTCTGTAACTAATACTGTTAATAGTCTCAATCTAAGGTCACATATTTTTCTTTTATTTGACCATTATGTTTATTAAGGTTTGAATTTGGTGCTAATTGGCTGGCTGAACTATTTTTCACTATTTTTCAACTTATCCTTGATAGTTAACATTTTTTTGGGAAACCATTGATCAACAAACAGGTTGGAAGTGCAGCAGCATATTTGCAGACGGGCCAATTTTTTGGAAAACGTTATTTAAAGCTATTGTTATCATCAGTTCTCATTATTGCGTGGCTCAACTTAAGGTCAGGGCTTTATCTTTTCAGCATATGCAACGTTTTAATGAACACATGCCCCAAATACATGCATTTTCATCGTGTAGGAGAGAATTCAGGCCTGTTTGCAACACTTGAATATGGTACTAGCTTCATCTTAATGAATGTAGTCTTAGAGTCTATAGTTTTTACAAATGTAAACTATTTCTCAATCTGTATAGCTTAATCAAATTCTTAAAATATGGAAAATAGCACTTTAGACTACTGATTTTTGCTCTTTGTTAGTCTTTACCTGGAACTTTATTCCACTTCTAGTTTCCAATCACAAACATCACCACCATCTAATCCTCAAGTAATTTTCATTTGCGTTACAACAAAACGACTACCTCTATTAGACTACATTAGACTATCTTGAGAAGTGGGTATCGAATGTTAAACTGAGATTTGAGACCTTAAAAATACTTCAGAAGTAGCTTTTACTCCTATACTTAATTTGAGACCCCTTCCAAAAGGACTTAACACCGGGCTTACATTTCCAGACATGGGTCTCAAACTCCGAAACTTTTAAGACCCTAAGAGATGGAAAAGCTGAAACCGAATGGTCTCAATTTTACAGTCCATTCTATGATTTTCAATTCATCTTATTAATTTTTTTTGAGAAAACTATGGGTACATCGAAATAAATTTTT